ATGCACGACATCGTCACGGTGAGATTTTTCGTGAGGCATTCGTTTCGTCGTGTATAAAGATACACAGATACGAATCGATGTGCGTAAATTGTTAATTTTCCCGATAAATCACTTTCCGCGTGACAATATATGAAAATTTCATTTAAAATCGCGTACAGTTTGCAATCGTAATCGACGTTGTTCGATGCAGAAGAACTTCATCAGAAGAATAACAGAAATTCTTATTCGTGATGACGAATTAGAATTTATATCAGACTATCAAAATTGAAGATACTCAATTTATTTTGTGTTTTACGTTCTCCGCGATGAAGATTCAATTAAATTGATAAAGTATCTTTCCAAAATTAAGTATTTTGATTCTAAATTTTTATAGCTCTCGATGATCCAATGATACCAATTCAGAGTTAATAATACAGTATCGTTACACAATACTAATTCTTTTTTATTTCTAAAAATTGTTATAGTTCTCAGTGACTCGATTAAAAGTCAACAACACACATTTGGAACGCAGTATCGTTAGAATACTGTGACTAATGTTCCACTCTCGACGTTTCTCTCGACGAGAACCGAAGGTTCATCAATCAGGAACCCGTTCATTAGAGATTACCACGATTGACCGATAATCAGTTGAAAAGAAAAAAAAAAAAAAAAAAAAAAAGACGACCAAGTAGTATGAATCGCGAGTTGGAGGAGCAATCGGGCAGAATCGATTAAAGGGAAATTTCCGGCTGGCCGATCTTTCTACGGGAGAAAAGTTTCATCGGATCGACACAATAGTTCCATTATCCGACAGTTCACTAACGCGTTTTCGCTGATTTAACCCCATTTGCATCGGGAAACGCGGCCAGTTGCCCAGCGCGACGGTGTGCGATGGTAAATGCTGGATTATTCTGCGCGCTCGTTGCAACGAATCCTCGAAAAAATGAAACTTTGTGAAGCCGTACGAACGGATATTTGTTAGAAAATTTAGAACGATTTCGACGCTACGCGTCTACCGAGTAATTGTTTCAAATGATTTTTCGTGCATTCTCGTTCCATTGGTTTTTATTGTTAACACTTCGCTTGTTAACCACAGCGTATCGCCGAAATAACGATGATCGAAAGTAACATTCGTCCTTTTTGTTATTTGAATTTCGTCGTGTCTGTCACAATTCGAGATGTATTTCATTTCTTTTTTTTTTTCTTTCATCACCGTTTGTAATTTACAATAATTATCTTATTCGCCTCTGTCTAGTACATAATTTTGAAGAATGCACAAAATTACAAATAGTTGAATTTTTTTGACAAAAATTATATGTTTACGGAGAAATAGAATAAACAAATTAGACAGATTTTACGCGTGCTCGTTTAAAAGTAATGAACTCATTGCTACATCTGATTTGATTGGAAATTGCTTTAGCGCGAAGAGGGTGGAATCAACTGTTGCTTGAAATGTTCGTTTCATTCATCATACACGTCTCATTCAGGATTATCAACTCGAAGTAACTGTTACACTATGCGATAAAAGATATTCATTTCCCTCGCTCGCAGTATGTATGTATATGAAATGTCGATATCTAATACGATACGTAGGTACATAAATATCGGCGGGGAAAATCGAGTCCAGTATTTTACGGAAACATTGCCTCTCGAACGAGTATCGATACCTGCGACTAACAGAATAACGACGTCGCGACTCTATTTTCATAAAGCATTCCGCGCTTCTATCCCGCTCTTGCATCTCTTTGCCTTTCCCATTTTTCAAAACGCGCAACAACGCGTATCGCATAAACAGAAAAAAATGACCCCCTTTTTTCGTTTCGTACTGCACGATGTTTACGTTTTCGACATTTTTATTACTATCATTGAACGTTCGCGCCATCCACGCTAGCACAGTGAAAAAGCGAAATATTTCGCAATCTTGAGACTGCAATATTTTTCGTTACGAAGATACGAAGGTATTTAAAATAAAATTCGAGAAAGAGCGAATGCGTTCTCTTCCGGAAATATATTAATTACATTCTCTGTATTTTTAATGGGGGCAAATTAAAATTTATTATCTGTTGCAACGATCTCTTCAATTTCAGAGGAATTGATATAAACTTACGTACATTCGAAATCAGTTCAATGGACGTATAGTGTTGAACCAGAGTAAAATTTTTGATAATTGTAGGAATTCCAATAATTCTAAAAATCTGCTAACTAAATTTTGGCAACTCAAAAAGATGGCAGAATACTAAAAATATTAAAAATTTCGCGCGTTGCAAGACTCATTGTGAACCACTTTGAGTTTGAACTCTCGATTGCTCGCAGGTCGTAATAATTACCTTTGACATGAGATGCTCAGATCATGGTTATTGAATCCCACTAGTCGAACTTGCTTGTTCTGAGACCCGTAACTTCGATATCGATTGTATCGAAAATTACAAGTTAACCGGCGAAGTGCACGGATCGTATCGAACTTCAAATGGCCTGTTTCTAACTACATCATAGGAAAATTGTAGATGGGTATTCCTGAAGATTGTCCAACTTCACCAATCTACGATTTCCTACATCGAGTTCTACTTTGATTTTGTGCCGTGCGCACCTCTCAAATTGTTTTCTACTTTATTAGGTAAAAGACAGTTACAAAATCTTATTTTATTCGGTCTTGCTTTCAATTTTTGTATTTAATTTTTTATAAATCTCAAATTTTGCATCCCTGGTTTATTAAGTATTAGCAACAAGAACGTCCAATGATTAATTAAATTAGTTACTAATTAGGTACTAATGAATAGTACTCTGATATCTTAATTTAAATTGCTTGGATTCATCATTATTTCTCTTTGATTTTTTAAAATTCCCAAAGTCAACGTACAAAGTACATCTAACATATCAAATTTTTATATTTATCCTTGTTCTTATTTGTCCACGCTAATAATAGAACTAAAATATGAAATTTATACGAGGAAAAGGTACAAAATTTCGTCTCTGTGTGTCATTAAAAAAAAATCTAAATCGCCATTGATAATAACGAATAACTTTTATCGTTCTACTGCGTTGCAGTTTCATTTGAAATATGACTCGCTGAAACAGTCAAAGAAGCAGCCATAAAGTGAATGTTGCTTTGTCGATAAGTACACGATTACTTGCGTTTCTGCCACTTATACCCCATTCGTCGGAGAACTAGTTACACCACCATGACCCAATAATTAATTGTCGCGCAGCAATACGCCCGAGCTCAATTAGAACTCGTACTAGTTATACACCCTCCCATACAAAGTAAATTATAACTTTTGACACGACCACGTAACGTTCGTTGCACGAGTTGATAATTTGTTTCGCGGCTAGTTATTATTGTGTAATTCGCCGGATTTCCGCCGCTGTGCCGCTGCGGTTCTCTTTTTATAATTCGCGGTAAGTAATTTTTGAGCAGCGTGCTGGAATCGGGATCAATAACAAAGCGTCGTTTCTTGAAGAAAATTTTAGTACTAGCGGCATAGAATTTTAGACAGAGTTCTCGTAAATTCTACTTTGCACTTTGAACGTAATTGTTTTGTTTTATTTTATTATTAAATTGCAAGCGATGGGTGTTGTTAAAATATAATATAGAAGAAAATTCGTCTATTTCATTAATATGATTGATAGACAATGTTAGTACGATTTTACTTTCTTTGAGAAAAGTACGATTTTTTTCTTTCTCACAAAATACGAGAAAGACGATAAGAAGTATTAAAAATCATCCGACTCGTGTAATCTTACTTAAAGAAGATGGACTTTCTTGATCCCTAAAAGAATTTCTTGTATCTCGAGTGATGACTTTTGAGATAACTTTTAATCTCTAAAAATATCTACGAATCAAAGTTATCACGCATCATTACCTACACAGCTTCCCAAAAACGATGTACGAATACTTGACACCGGTATAAAACGAATATCGAATCGCTCGAAGACGCGCATTGGACCAGCGGTTCGCACAAGTCAAGCGAGAAATCAATTTCACGGACAACAGGAGTTGCATCGCCTGGCAAGTGAAAACGAGAAAAACGACGAAAGGCGATCTCGTCTATTCGGAGATTGATGGATTTCACTCTGATGACCATTGGGGAGTGGAAGAATGTCACAAAAGCTTCTCATTGGATATTTGCATCGATCGTCGGAGTAGATGTGCTTTCGTCTAAAACGAAATGAAACGAAACGAGTGAAAAGAAAAAAAGGAGAAAAAAAGAGGAAAAATGGAAAAGAGGGACAGTGTAACATGAGAAACAAAGGACACCTTCCACGTCGTTTTAAAAATTATGATTCATGCGAAATTGATGAACCGCGAGCGTGTATATTTAATCCTCGCTCTCCGAATGCCAGGGATTAGTGTTGCTTCGACGTTATCTTTGTTTCATTCGCGAACCTTTCGATTTTTCGGATGGCGATGAATGAAAAATGGAGGGAAAGTTGGTTTGTTTATGGAATTGTTTTGCGTTGGCTATGGATTTCGCTGGAGGGGCTAAAATTGTTTCCTCCGTATCGAATATTTTTGTAAATCTGTAATTTTCCATCGATATTCTTTTGTTGGGTGGTTGGTAATTTGAATATCTAATCAAGTGTAAGAATGAACTTGGCAAATGTGTAGATGGTTTAATGGAAACTTATTTGCCGCGGGTACTTAATGTTAGATACATGTTTACAAATTAGTTACTCAAACTTGATTCTGAGAAATGGGCAAATATTTTAATAAACTCTTTGATGCTTAATTGCTTCTCGGTACCTCTAAATAAGATTTACAAACCCGAATACGAAATTAATTTCGCACTCGATTATAGGCATTCTTAATTTTCGTATCTGATATTTTGTATTACACAATCACTCCGCAATCACCAATGCAGGATTCCAAATTATAAACATAAATTTCTGCGAATGAACAGTTATTGATCCTCTCTTACAATTTCTACAACCATCATTTAACACGCTCGCCATTCTCCTATTGTATATAAATCCGTGCAAATACGTATAAATTAGCTAGTAATTTTCTGTTTCAATTGATACAGCTCTCGGCCAGGTGATGCTCTACGTGGACGGCATGAATGGAGTGATGGAACACGGTCAGACGGTTCAGTGGTTATACACGTTAATAGCCAGCCGCTTCCGTTTAGTGGTGAAGACCGCGTTGAAACTGTTGCTGGTGTTCGTCGAGTACGTGGAGACGAACAGCCTGCTGCTGGTGAGAGCGGTCAGATCGGTCGATACGTCCAGGGGTATGATACCATGGACGAACGTGATGAAGCTGCTGAAGGATTACGACGCCGCCGACACGGAATTACTGATCTACGCGACGACGTTGGTCAACAAGTGTCTGAACGGTATACCGGACCAGGACACTTATTACGATCAGGTGGACTGTTTAGAGGAACAGGGGATCGAGGGCATCATCCAGAGGTACATGTCGAAACAGGGCACCGATCTCGATCTACTCAGGCAGTTCCAGATCTACGAAGCCGTGTTACACCACGAGGACGGGAACGATAGGGGCTCGCCTATTCGTCAGCTGGACGATAACATCAGGTATCGATTCGAGGTGGCTTGGTCGCTTCGTTTGCCTTCTGACGCGATGTTTAACAACGTTGTTGATCTTTGCTGTTTCGTACGACAGAGGAATTTCGTACGATCTGTAAGCTGCATGTTGTCGCGGGATTATCTGCAGATAGAATCTTTGAACGACAGATTTTAAATGCGATCTTATGATTACTTTTCTTCAGAAACTATCGCTCTATCGATAAAAGTATATATATATTTTTACATCTTTGAGAATTGCAATTGCGTAAAAGTTTGAGGTGCTATCAAGTTTATCGATCTTGGCAGCTGCGTCTGACAGAGATAAAAACATTTTTGTATTAATTCTGTGGAATCTTTATAAAATGAACAATTGATTTGAAGCGCATCTTTTTCAAAAATTATATTCCAAGATATTGTACAATTAATATTATATTCTATATGTTTCCTTATATTTTTAAAAATTATAATAATATAGAAATTTACGTTTATCTTCATAAATGAATGTAATTAAAAATAGAAATTAAATGATCCATGCTCTTAGAACACAGTTTTTGAAGAAAAATGATCGTTTTCAAAAGACCTAACGCGGTAGAAGGTCAAGCGACGAAAGCATCTGAACCTGTTGTATACGCAGTAGTATAACTATCGGATTATTCGGACGAAATCGCTTCCCCGGCGTGTGTTTGGATTAGCGCCTAATCACCGTAATAAATTTCAAGTTCTGTTTTATCCTTATATATGTATATTGATAAACTAATTTTTACGATTGTTATAACTCTCATGCTAATATTCTCTTTTATTAATCGTATATTTACTCGTTAAAGAATGAGGAAAAATGTATAAGTTATTTATTTAAGAATTTAAAATTGGAATGTTTTTCAATCAATGTGTTGCGATGATAATGTTATGTATTATCTTTTCTTTTAACGTATGAACAATCACGTTGTTGCACGAAAATCCGTTCTTCCTAGACGTGATAATAAACGGCGCTTCTAAGTGATCGATTGGTAGATGAAACAAATTGAGAACAAATATATTGTCGCTTTAAATAATTCTATAAATAATGACCAGAGACGACATTCTATTGACAAAATATTATTTGATTGACAAGTATTACCACTGGTACAAGTGATCGTAAGTAGTACGAATCAACGACTGACGAACGTACGAACTCAGAAAAATATAAACTCGACCGCGATTCAACCGAACAAAATTTCAGACTTGCAACGACGACGAAACACGAGGCTGGCGAACGCAATAATTCACTGAGAAACACTTTCCTCCCGCAGGAAGACGCTACGAAACCGGAAGTCCCTGGTGGATTCTCACGAACGGCGAAAATCCCGGCGACACTCGACAGGCACGTCTCCATTGTCGATGTCCTTGAACGCGCGTCTAAGTCCACGGCTCAACCACTCGTTGGGTATAAGCTCTCTGAACAACACGCTAAACTCGAGTTTACCCGATGACGACGACGAATCGAGCAGCTCCCAAAGTTCGCAGGGTCATCTCGGCGAGGTTCAACTGAATGGCAGTTACAAGGAGAACAAAGGTGAACCATCCACGTTATTTCACTTTTGAATTTTTTTTTTTTTTAGATTGGTCCATTCCATTCTATTATTCCATTATCGATTTTTGTGCATTTTTATATTTCTACGAACATAACTAGAGAGTATATTAATTATTATATTCTTTAGTTACGTCAAAAATTTAAATTACTAACGAAGTTCGGTCAAGCCAGGATCATATCGAGTTTTATTATTATGATGAGCGCACAGTCCTTTAGTCCTTCAGTCTTTTGTCATCACTTTCTCATACTTCCATAAGCGTCAGACACAGATCATTCTCTTAATAGGTTTTTACCAAATGAACGAAATGTTTGAAATTCGTGCTCACGTATATCTGTCCCATCAATTCCATTAAACGTAACAAGTGAGCACGAGTATGATCGAACAGACGTTCCATTCGTTCGGTCTAAACACGCCGTGTGACGCAAATGCGGTAGTTGAAAACCGCGTACGCAAAAATAGAAACTTCGATATTGTATCTATACAAATGTGTCTGAGTGACATGCATGCTTCTGACGCTTATAGAAAATTCCCGCCTTTATCTCGAGCGAGACACATTTTCGCTTTCATTCAGCGCGCGCACAGACGCGCGTCGTAGCTGATCGCGCTCGTTAACGATTCGACCGCGCGATGAATACGAACTTCGACGCCCACGAGCGGCGATTTCCGCGTTAACGGATCGTCCCTCTCTCAGGAGAGAGAGAAAGAGAGAGACCTTGCGATTTTCAGTTCCCCCGTGCGTTTCGTTGCGGATGCAGCACGCGGTGAACGCGAACTGGCCGCCAGAGACCGGAGCAAAAAGCAGTAGTAGTTTCACTCCGAAGGGGGCCGTGATTGAGCACGTTTGACCCGGAGCGCGTCGCGGAATACGGCCGGCGCGGGTCAAGTACATCGTCGTGAACCCGGCTTCACCGGAAACGGAACGTCGATGTTCGATGTCGCGGCAATGAGCAGTCGGTGGTGGTTTCACGTGGTTACGTTTTCACCGCTTTCTGTGCACGAGGACATCTTCTGACGTGCTGTATATTGTAATTTTATTTCACTTCGTCACATTCTCGTTGGTGTGATTTTCTGTTGTTTGCATTGCACAAATGGATGTTACGTTGTCGGCTTGTGTATCGATGTCGTGACGTGTATTGTACACATTTGTAATTTTATTTCAGGTTTTACTGGTACAATCTTCAGTCGTTTGCGTTAGATATTAGAGAGACGATTTATTTTACTTCAAATATATCCCTGTTTATTGTAAATTTCGCTACAAATTTCTGAATCTTCTCGTACACGTCTAATTTATCTTTTCATTTTACGCTTTGACATTTACAAGCACGCAATTTAATATTTTTTCATTAAATTCCAATAATTTTCAATTTTTATTTACTTCTTTAATATTCTTCTTGGTGTATCTCTGAATCGGTGGACAATAATCGAGTAACATTAGAAAAGAAACATACATCAAAATATCCAAAATGCGATCGTTGCATGAAACAACATGAAATCTCCGCTCGGAATCTGTTTCTTTAGTCGCGTTTGTAAAACGATCCGCGATCTGTACAAAACTTACACGTGCATACGATTGAATGCAATTTGATCGAACGACAAAAGTCAAAACGACGTGATATCTGTACGTTGAGCGAAGCATGCGGAACGTCAAATTTCCCATTCGATTCCGTCGGCAGCGGAGAAATGCATGGAATAAATCGAGGATAACCCAGCGTTGAGCGCCGCGGGTCGACGAAATAATTGATACACGGTGTATTTTCGGCGCAAGCGTGAACCGCGTCGTAGGAATGACACGCGTGACGAGCAGAATTTATTGTGACTGTCGTCGGGGGACGTTTCGATTCGTATCGCCGCCGATAAATCAAAATGAAAGTTCGAAACCGTGTCGTTTGATTCGTACGCGGGCGAATACGATGGCGCGCGATAAGCGGCCGTCCGCTCGCGCTCGCGGTAAATAGTAAATTATAGTTCGACGCGGAAAATGATCGAGCGGCGTGCGTGTATACGGGGCCAGGAAAGAAGTGATTTATTGCGGCTTTCAGTGGACGTTGGCGTGACACCGGCGTTAAGACGTCGAAGGGAACGAGCCGAGAGGCAGAGGAGCTTTATCAGGGAGCAGCAAGAGGCCACGGCGAATATGCGAGCATCCGTCGTACCCTCGGACGATCAGGAAAGTCAGTAAATTGATCATTCTCGTTTCAACATCACCGTTGATGAGCTTAATCATGAGAATTTCGTTTAACGCGTTCACTGCTCGAGGGATTTTTCATTCGTGTTCTCGTCTCTTTGTTGCTTTATAATTTCCTATTATTTTTATTATACCTGTATTTTATTATATATGTTTATATTATTCAGTTGTATTGTGGAAAGACGCACAGAAACGCGCACCGATTGTTGGGAAATTACAATTTCTAGATCAAAATTTAATTAATTTATATTGAATTGATTTAATTTCAAAATTAAATTAATTTTTTGGGAACTGTCAACTCTAATTTTAGAGATATTAATATAGTAATACGGTAACTTTTCTGTAAATATAGCTAGAGATATAGTCTAGTATAATAATACGCAGTGAACGTGTTGTCATATTGGCTATAAGTGTATTGTTAACACATTCGCGTACTAAAGTGGTAAATTATGTTTCTTGAATCAAGATTTGAAAAGTCTGTTTCACATAGCACGCATTATGTTTTACATCGTTTATTATTATGAATTTAAATAAATGCAAAATAATTTTCTTGATCTAACTGACCCAAATTTATGAAATTATATATTTATTTTTGATATAAATTTTCACGTAACTTACAATTATAAATACTTGTTGAATTGAATTGAATAATTTTCACAAGATTCCGAAATAGATTTTTAATTTGCAGTCTTTAATTGAATACTTACGAAACCATAGGCTTCATAATAAATATTTATCAAAGAACACGAAGGATTAAAATGTTATTAAAAAGATGTGAATCTATGAGATTTCTAGACAAAAGCAAGAGAGTTAAGAAAGATATTACGAGGTTAGGTCAAGGTTGTAAAGCTTAGTATATCGGCAGGAAGTAATCGATACACGCAATTTATGAGACAGACGCTGCTATAATCCTGTCTTAAACACCCTATATTGGTCAGCGTTATAACGGTCGATTGTATAAGCTTATCAGATAATTAATTCTCAAAAACTAAAACAGGTCCAGTTTGTTGGACCTGTGAAATTATTAATTTCAGTCACATTTATTTCATCAATATTTCGATTGAGGTTTTATATCAGAAACTAAATCTGGAACTTCGTTAAAACATTAAACCCGAGATTTCATATCACGAAGTAAGCCTGAATAAATTAGTTTTATAAATTACGTGCCAAAGTATTTCACATTTTTCGTCGATAGAAAATTATAAACGCTGATGAATTGTGAACCTGATGTCGTTGCATCGTTTTAACTAACCTATGTTCCCAGTCGTACAAATTCACCGAGCTTTTAAACATGTTTGTGCACAGTTTTCATGGTTTGTTTGAAGTTTCTCTCGACTAGTTTCTCGGATGGTGGTTGGGGAGTCAGTTTCTGTTTGCATTTTTAAGCGTTCTTCATCAAACCTACGCTCTCGATTCTCTTGCAGACTTGGTGAACATCGTCTCTCGGATTCCCTCTTCGTTTAAGACATTGTTAATCAAAAATTCAACGACAGAAATTACCACGTTCCCGAACAAAGTCTTTCAGACAGTTTATTGGAAACAAAATTACGAGATCAAATGAATCTCGACTCGCACCGAGTATCAATAACAATTTTCTTTGTAATTATTATTCGATAAATTTTTTTTACAAATTTCCTAAAATTTTGAACTAACCCAAATTCGATATTTACTCATGATTCATTTGAATCAACGATCAACAATCACAAGTCTAATGCTTGTTCAAGATTATTTATTTACTATTTGTAATAAAATATTAAATTCTGTGTTCAAGTGTTACGTATTTTGAATCGAGCATTCCGATACTTGCTAAAAGAATCGGTGTAATACACATATAGCCAAACATCTCCCTCTAGTTCGTATAGTAATGTAGCAACGTAGAACAGCAATAACATAATTAATCGCAAATAATCGAACGGATTTCCCGTTGGCGAAGGTCCCTACGCGACGAACGGGCTGCGTTACACGAACGGCACGTCGTACGAAAGGAACGCGGACTCGCCGTCGAATAAATTGTCCAGGACGAACAGCAGGAAGGACTTGACGCCGCTGATGAATGCCGCGAATAAGCTCGACTCCGAAGAGAAGAAACCATGGTACGGCAAGAGTCCCGACGAGGGTGTCGAGTGCGACGAAGGTAATCACACCGACGAGGATGAGGATCGTCGAGTGGTTCTACAACTGAAGAGGGAAGGAACTGTCAAGGATCTCACACAAAAGCTGGCCGCTCAAAATCTTATACCGAGCAGCCCGGTCGAGGAGAAGGTTTCCAGGTAATTTCACACGACACGTGGAAAAGATTATGACTCGTTTCACTTTTTAGTGAATCGGGAAGTACAGTGAATTGTTCTTGAGTACCAAATTCATTCGTTGTTGTATGATGTCTATTATAAAGCTGTGATATCCTCGTGTCATTGAATTATACGTTTAATACGTTGTTTAGACGTTTTTGTCACGTAACAAAATCAAGTACATGAACCTATTAATATATATTAATTATCTATATAATAATATATATTAATATTATAATAATATATTGAAATAATTCATCTGTATTTTCCTCCGGTGTCGTTAAATTATTATTTAATACGTAGACGTTTGTACGTTTGTCACACAGTATTATAAATATTTTTGACAGACAATCAGAATACGCTAAAATATCTTTCATCTTTGGAGAAAACAAAATCACACAGTCATATTGGTATATTCCAAGTGCTTTGTACACGCATGGAACGTGCAAATTCAAACTTTTTACCTATTGCATGCACGTCGCAAAAGACACGAATCGTAGTCGAATTTTCCTCAATATGTCGAATCCTTTAACCGAGGCTCGTTCACTGGAATCTTCGTTTTCTTTGTCCCTCAGGATAGGGGATATGAGCGGCCTGATCTCGAAGGCGAAGGAGGGCCTGGCCAAGTCGAAATCGAAGGCGGACGTGCTGAAGTCGCCGACCGGTGACAGCCTGCCGAAGCTGCAGGAGGCGAAGAAATCGGAGAACGAGCTTCACTGGGAGGAGCTGGTTAAGAAGCTGAAACGGCCGCTGGAACTTTGCGACCTCGACTTCACCGATCTGAATTCCGACGACGAAGTCGACGTACTCGGGCCGGTGAACGTGACCAACGGTATACCGCCGCCACCGCCGCCGATGGTGCCGACTACCGGCGGTGTACGAGCACCGCCGCCGCCGCCTTTGGGTGCCAGGCTGCCGCCGCCGATGCCACAGGCGCCTCCGCCGTTGTTCGGCGTGAATCTCAAGTTACCGAGATCGCCGGCCGCCGTCGCCGACTCGGGCAACATGCCGAAGAGCCCGCCGCCGGCCTTCACCAAGAAGAGCAAAAAGACGGTGAAGCTGTTCTGGAAGGAGGTCAGGGATGATCCCATCATACTGTCGAGGCTCGACAAAAACAAGATGATATGGGACGAGCTGTCGCCGGTACCTGTTGACACGCAGAAGCTCGAGCACCTGTTCGAGAGCCGCGCCAAGGATCTCATCACGAAGGTGAGCAGGCTCTTTCGTTCTTTCAAGCTTCGATCGTTGCTCCTTCCTTGCGAGGGTTTGCTCTCTCTTTCTCTCTTTCTTTCTCTCTCTTTCTGCGTGGTTACGCTCGGTGGAAGTGGTTCTTGGGTTCGTAGGTGGGAGCAGGATTTTACGTTCCTTCGTTCGTGCTCGGTGTACGGTGTTTCGCGGGAATATTTGGATATTATAGAAAAGTTTTTGAGATACACTTTATGTGTGTGTGTGTTGTACGAAGTTGTTTTTTGGAATTTTGATCAAAGACATCGTGATTATGTTATGTGAATTGCTAGAATTTGGTATTTGGTATTCGTTTAAGTCTGAATACGTTCGAATATTTGAATTTTTCCTGTTAAATTATATTGTGTTGCATAAATATTGTTGAATATTTTAAATTGAATGATGAAAATCTATGGTAATAATAATGATAATAGTAAAATAATTTTGCGTAAAGTAAACGGAAAGAAATAATTTTCACATTTTACCAACGTAATCGTAACAGATAAGTCTTGCTGCAATGCTATTGACGTTTAAAAATGATTTTTGATGACATACACACACACACACACACACACACACACACACACACACACAGTGTCCAAATACTTTCGCGAGTCACTGCCGCGTCGAGTGTCGAGTACATACGACGATGAAGTACGTTTGCTTCTCAGATAAAGGGGAAAAGTAAATTTTGAAATGTAAGTAAAGACACGACCGAACCATCCCAAAATTTAAAATGAAAAAAAAGGAGCGAACGTAATTTAGAATAGACCTGGCGTTAGCTCCTCGTGTGGGAAAAACATTTGTCCATGGTATATAACACGGAAATGATTAATACAGTTCGTCTGTGTACACTCTCTCGTTTGTTGTATGTATGGAACAATTTTGTTGGTGAATACTAAACAAAATAAAGGTCTAACACAGCGTAACTATAGTAACATTACAACACAAGCTATTCTCAGATCAATTCGGTCTCTCGCGTTCGCTTTGAAATCACTCTCAGGTCAAACACACCGTGTACAAAAGAACAATGCCAGTTCATCGCGGGCGGTTTCTGCGAACGCAAAGCGACCGAAAACCTTTCAACTATTCAACCATCGAACCTGATATTAGGAATCCCTCTTTCGCCAGCAAGAAAGAAAAAAAACAAGCAGTAATTGAATTTCCATCGAGCTTCGAAACCTCGTCATTTTTCAACGATATCTCGAATTTCGTGTTTCCGTCGACGGGAAGCTTACGCACTTTACGGTTCTTGGTGGTTCGCGGTTTTCTCGAAATTCCACGCCCCCCGCGCGAGACAGGAAATTTAATTACCGCGCGTCTGTTCGATGGAAAAAGCGACACCTTTCCCATGAATCTCGCGGTTTTTCCTCCTCCCTCCGTTTCGTCGTCGTTGTTGCCCCCGACGGTAGACGCAGACGACGTTCGTCATTTGCGGACAACGCCCGATCCTTAAGGCGTACGTGGCGTAGGGGGTGAACACTCAGCCTTCGCCGTGCGAGAGAGGCTTTTCATCGCGCGGAAATTCCACAGGCAGCCTATTCACCATCCAGAATACACAAAGCTACGCGACTGGTTAACCGGTCGGGTTGGTTCGGCCCAGATTAAAGGGGACAAGCCCTTTAAAACGGCCTTTGGAGAGTCAAGCGGCCGTTGGTTTTTGGAACGTTTGAATCTTGATTCTGAGAGTCTTTTTTTTTCAGGGGTAGGATCTGCGGTTCCGAAAGTGCGATACGGATGTGCTTTTTCTTTTTTCATTTTTTTTTTTTTTAGTTTCGTTCGAGGCACGCAAGACGGGAGAAAATTGAAAAGCTGTAGAGTAAGTTTCGTGACGAAAAGTGATCTACTATTTGTCACCTATTCGTCGCTTTATAAACTCGACTAGAGACTTTTCTTTTCGAATCACGAACGTAAATGCAAGCGCAAGAATTATCTGCGCCCGAAAGTTATAAATATTCAAGCCTGTTTGTCGTGTGAAAGTACAATCTTCTCTTCTCACCCGGAATTGCATTTAATTCATGACCCGTTGCTTTAATTAGCAAACATTCGCCGAAATTTCCCATCCGGCTATTATCCAATTCCGAGGAACTTTTCTCTCCTCTCTCCCCCGCAATTTCAGTACACCAGTAATTATTGTCTCGTTAACCCCCACCCCGGTCGAGAATCCCTCCTTTCTTCTTTTTTCTTCCAAACAGTTTCTTTCGAGACACGTCTGAATAAAGAATACTAGCCACGGTGCCAAGCGTTGAACAGATCGGAGGAACGTTTCCAGGCCCGGAATGGAGCGTTGCGAATTGCATTAAATGCACGGTTCCTCCTCGCTTCTCATCTCCTTTTTTTTTCCTCTCTTTTTCTCACTCCACCTCTTTCGTACGTGTCGCGGCGATAACGGAAGGAATTAAAGGCTCGACGAACTCCCGTTTCGCCTGTCTTCTTTTTTTTTCTTCTCGTCTTCCTTCCTTCGGTCGTTGAAATCACAGGGCACCGATTCCAGGCACCGCTCTCGCGTTCGGACGCTTTAACCGTGTGGTACACGAACCACGGTGTTTCAAAGGGAATTTCAAGGGATCGGGGATAGTTGGCCACCGCCGTGAAACAACGACGTATTGGGGTATTTGGGGTGCACTGCTTAAGATAATGAGAGAATCTCGTCGCCGATGATGAATGAATCGGCTGTCAGAATCTGTTGAGAGGAGTGTTTAGAGCGAAAGAGATTTTCTTTTTCTGGAATCGAGAGTTTCGTTGTTCAGATGAATCCCGATGGGAAAGAATGGAAGGATCGATTGTTTTCATTTGCATTTAATGATAAATTTTAATGAAAAGAATGTTTCAATGATTGAGATTGAATCTTTAAAATGAAACAATCTCGATGTATATATTCTGTGTAAATAGTAAAATTGATATATTACCATTTGAATTATAGAGTTGCACTGGGAAATGCAACTAATCTTCTAAAATATCTACGATGATAAGCCACTTTCTTCTTCGAGGTTCGAATTCTATTTTTTTAAATTGACAATTGAGCTGTTAAATGTTCTTTATGGATCATCGTCTAGTGAAGTTTGTGATAAATTGCTCGTATCATACAAATGGTTCACAAAGATAAATTTTGCTCGAAATCTGTATTTTTTGTTTAAAATCTTTATTTTTCTGTTATTAATTCTTCATTGTGTTTGTCTCGTATTACATTTGTACGTTTTAAGATAAAGTATCTATGTACGTATTTATATTTATTATTTCGAAGAAGATAAGCCGAGATTTCATCTAAGCAAATAAAGCACACTTCTGCAGAGGTATTTAATAATGCAAGTTTCCGATTGAAGTTTCTCTCTTTGTTCGTTGACAATAAACTCAGTTTTGCCATAAGAACAAATCAAACATTCTTGCTTGCTAAATGTTGCAGTCCTCGTGCGAAATTTCATTTGAGTCGAATTATAAACAGAGATATTTTAGATTCTAGAAATACTACTAGGTATCAATGAATCTTTCATTTGACGCAATATTCTATTCTATTTTCACGATTTAGATTTTCATGAATACACTGAAAGAAGAAATCTCTGAGGAAAATATTCAAGCAAGTATATCATACTTTAGGTGTTTTGTATATATTTTTTCATACTATGTGCGCTCTATTCGTTTCTGCAGGTTCATAAAAATCCGCAGTCTTGTTATTTGTTTAGCTTCTTTGGTCTTATATATTGTAACATTCTGTATAATATTTTATTCTACATTTATACACATTTATAAAATATACTGACGAAGTTTAGTAGATATTTATGATTTACATATTTCCGCAATTTTAAACGTACAAACATTCGCCTTCCTCGCACAAAGGGCTTAGAATAAACACCATGTTTGTCTCCAAAGAGGACAAAGTCAAACGATGTTTTGTACAGCAAAGAATTTTATTATGTAGATATTCCCAAAATGTAGCCCTGAGACTTTCAAAAGCTAAATGGACATTCCTCAAGCAGTTCGACCTTCTGCAAGTAATTTATGAAAATAGCCCGTTTCAATTTCCAAGCTAAGAACGAATTCGTTCGTTTGTTCTGAACGTACTCGCCACCAAGGCGTTCAACAATCGGCCGGGCAGATTCACGGATGCCTTTGACACGGATTATGCGTTTAATCCGGCGCCGCTCGCAGCAGAGTTACTCTTCGCCGGCCCCTTAAACCGCTTTACCCTAAACGGCTTTATTTTCGATCGTGTACAGGACAGCAGCGCCGGGTCGTTTGTCGCGGTGCCGCGGAATCCTCGCGTCTCTCGATCCCTACGAGGGCTTTCGTGTTTCCAGCGAGCGAAAGTAGAAGAAGGGGAAAGAAGAAGGTTCGCCGAAGCTTTAAGAGGATAAAAATCCCGTTGCTCGTTTTTATTCCCTTTTCGCCCCATCTTTGCCTTTCATTCGACGTTTTCACGCGTGTTCCACGTACGATTTCCCGACTTGATAAATAGAGGTTGCTGTCTCGCAGGCTGTCAGTACGCCGATACGACGAACGCTGTGAATTTTCGTCTCTTCTTCCTCTTCCTGCTAAAGTAAACTCATTGAGATTCGTAAATTTTCTTGCACTGTATGCAAGGTATGGTTGTTATCTTCTAATGGCACGATTAGATAGGAGTGATTTTATGTAAAATAAATTGAACTAAAGGTAATGATAAATAGAAGTAAATGTTTGGAAATTTATCGAGTACAGAAGAGAGAGTGATCGATATTTTATATTTACACAATACGTGCGAAAATTGATCAAGTATGTGGAACAAAATTTTCCATAAGACACTTCTTTTCTGAGAGAATTCAATTTAGAAAGTCTATCAAGTCTATCGACAATAAGCTAACTCTAGATATGTTCAAAATCTGTTTCCTTCAAATCAGGATAGTATAAATCCTATAATAAATATATAAATCGAAGAATACGATAGTGATTTCTAAAAAAAGGATATTTTAAATATCTATGTATTAATCGTATTATTTTGTCACGTCTTACGTA